TTTCGTGCTGACAATTAAAATATTTATTTGCTCGTAGTAGCAAGAGAGTTTTTATTATTATTTGCAATTTGGGCAACAGCTAAATGCTTTTATATTTTCAACAATTTATTGACTTTTATTTATTTGGCGTCAAGTGCCTTGCATTGTAAAAAGTACACAAATTGTATCAAAATAAATAAATATATAATTGGCAGACCGAGTAAGATAACTAAATAAATTTGCAAAGTGCCAGCTATCAGATTTAATTCGGAGCAATTAAAAATTGTTATTTTATTATATTGGAGAGGCTTCACACATTGCATTTTGAATACAAATAAACTGTCATTTTATTTACAATTTTAGCAGTCAATAATGTTTTAAGTCTTAATACATTTATGGTGATTTCATTTGCTCACTAATCATTGACTATTCTACATCTACGAGTTTAATTTGTTTATGTCACTAGTAGGTCCTATCACCTGCCATTTCCAGGGTATTTGAAATATAATTGTAATGGCGAAAACACACTTCACCCAAACTCACAAACTTACAAGGAAAACGAGAAAAATCCAAATAAGAAATTTAAACTTCAACCAACAGCAGACAAATTCCGCTGTCAGCAAAGTAGCAAGTAAAAACTTAAGTTTTTAGTGTAAATAAAAAATTCCAAGTGATTGTAAACTACATTCCTTAAATATATTTCTATAATATTTTTCTATAATTATTTAAATATTCAATAGTTTGAGAACTGTGAATAGAGTTATAGATAATATAGATATAGATATAAGCTATATAGTTTCCTAGGCCAATTTTAAAGAAATCAAGTGAAGGTAAAGTGCAATGGGGGGTTAGGTGATTGGAGGCTGGATGCCTGTGGATCGAGTAAGGTCACTTGCAGTGCACAGGGTGAGTGTAGTTGACCTCTTAATGCGGAAATTCAACGCACGGCAAGATAATTAATAGTTGATTAAGGCTGGGGCAGCAACTCGCTGCTGCGTGTGCATTTAACTACGTGTATTTTTTCACTTTCTCTTAAGTAGGACAAAGTTGTGGCCCAATAAACTCTTAAAGTTTTGCGGTCAATGTCCCAGTGGAGGGACTCCTCCAGCTCCGAATCGCGTATCCTTGTGGCGAAGTTCTGAATGGAGAGCTCCCGCAACTGCAATTTAATGCCCTTGTACGCGTGCATGTAATTTATGTTTTTCAACTTAATTAAAGTTAATTCTTAATGCCGCTGCGGTGGGCGACAGGTTTTCCTTGGCATGGCAAGGGGCGTGGCACGTGCATCAAAGGCTGCCGCAAACATTTTAACACCACTCGGCATTTTCGTGCTGGTGACATTAAACAGCTGGAGCACTTTTGTCATGCAACGAGGTCAACAATGGGCAGCGAGTCCTTGCTCCGCCCGGTATCCTTTTTTTGTTTTTTTTTAGTGCAGCCTTTGCCCAACTGCTCATTTTCAGCTGTTTAATAAAAATGCCAATTAAATGCATGTCGCTGATTGCCACACGCAGGATCAGCGGCTGCCGGAAAAACAGAAACACTCATCCAAAACCTGCAAATGGCACACAAGTTAATTATAAATTGCAAATGGCAACAACACCGAATTAATATCATCAGCAGCCACAAGCACTTATAGAAATTTCCACACAAAAATCTGTAAAATCTTCAAAATTGCGTAGCTTTAATACCCAACTTTTTATTCATTGAGCATTAATGCGAAGGAAATATTTATGGGAAATAACCATCACTTAACAATAATCACTTTCAATAAATAGTACTTGAATATATTTAGTTTCCCTTTTGTATGTAAATTTACCCCATCAAAGGGTATTAAACATAACTTAAATGAAGATAAATAGGCTTGTGCTGAAATAAAGTTTTTAGTTTGTATTAAAACAGGCTGAATTAACAATTGTATGAAGGTTTATTGTGCCATGGTACGAACTTTAATGTTTAATCACCCCAGGCTTCAATCTCTTTGAAGTGCTTTTATTACTTTCAGTATTATTATTTTAGGCAATCAGTCCGTCAGTTTTGTGTGTATATTTATTTGTTTTGATGTGCAATTCAATCTGTGTCTTGTTTATTTTATGTAGCTCAAAAAAAGCAAACCCGTTCACTTCACTGCTGCTATTTGCCAGTGATGATTTCCTGTGCGGAAAACTCCTTTTATAGAAGGTTCGTCGAAGTCGCATTTAGTTTATTTAGCTTAACATTAATTGAAACAAACTTATTTTTTACATTATCTATAGATACCTATTCACATTTATTTCCCAATCTGTTCTCTTTTCCAAGTGCTTAGTGCTAAACATCATCCGTGTACGGGGATATGCTGTCGAAACTCAAAGGACAATGGCTGTGCATGATTTGCTCGCAGTTCTCCTCCCGCAGATGCGGCATATGCCGCTTGTCGTGCTCATCCAGGCTGCAATTAAGTAAAGTGTGTGGTTGGGCGTATTAATCCACGACTGGCGGGCACTCACGTAAATACGTATTTCAAGAGCTTAAACAAAAATCCCTGACCATGATCCCCGGCCAGGACGGTGCAGTAGGCCTTCAGGACACAGGCTCGTCCATCCAGGCCACTGCGATCGATCAGCTCGTGGAGCAACTCGTAGGTGTCCCTGCGAAAGGGCCTGTTCTCCCTTTTGACCAACACCGGGGTATTGGCCCGAAAGCCATAGCCATGGGCCCACACAAGCGGCGACTTGATCACATTGTTCTTGACATTTACGCGGAACTTTAAAGGGGGTTTAATATTAAATATAAGCAACTTTTACGGACCTGAAAAACTTTTAAAGGAGCTCTAACTGGAAAAATAAACATATTCTCTAATTTTCAGTTAGGGCTCGTTGTTTACCCACAAATATACGAGTTGTCTCTATGATATCCAAATATCGCTTGGCCCGACTGTGAATGGCAGTGGAATTCTGATCTTGGCCAGCCACCAGGGTCAAAATGGAGAGAACTAGGCCCAACCGAACCGTGACCATTGTAACCAATGTAGGAACTCAACTAACAGCAGAGCATGGAATGAACAGCTTATGGATGTTCCTAGCTCAAATTAAAACAGGTTTCCTTGTGTTCATACCTTATGAGCATAATGCTAATTAAAGACAAAGCTGTGTCCACCCCACCTGGAAACTGGAGCATATGATCCACTTACCGGAATATCAATTTGAGCATTTTGAAGAGCATTCCGCTCTTTTGCTTGGGATTATCCACGTCGTTAATGGCAGTGCAGAACGACTTCAGCATGCAAGCGCGACCATCGAAGCCATGTCTATAAGGGAAAATGTAATAGATGACACGATATAGTAGTATATTGAGAGTGGGAAACTTCAGAGGGCACTCACCCATCCAGAGCGGTCTCCAGTTTCGAGAAGAGGTCCCGCTTGAACAGGCGAAAGAAGACGGCATTATCCTTCTTCTGCTCCTCGATGGAGGGAAAGGGATAATTGGCACGGAAGCCATAGCCGTAGGCATACAGAGTGTTGATTGTCCACAGATTGTTCTTGCCGTTGGTACGCCACTGCAAAGCATCGAAGGAGCCAATTAAAACAGGACACCACACACCCACCATAGATGCACCCTGTACGCACCGACATACGTGATCCCTTGCTGAATTGAAGATACCGCTTGCCCCGACTCAGAATCCTGGTGGAATTGCCGGATGCGGAATCGAAGTACGAGCTGGGAATATGGCTAGTCGATAGACTGTCCATTGGGCTCTGGAACTGTTTGGGCAGTGTGCTGAGCCCGTCCGCATTGTCAACGGGTTGGGGCTGAGTGACGGGAGGATTGGACGCTGGGATGGGCACCACCAGGACCAATTGCAGCGTCAGCAGTGCCACCGCTGACAGGTGAGTCATGTTGCTGAATTTCCAAGTGTACACTAATTAATACTTTCAACTGCTGCGGATTATTTCAATTCTTGACGTTTTTCCGGCTTAATTGCCTCGCTCACATTGTTCCTCGTGGATGGCTCTTGTGTCCAGTTCCAGTTCCCCCGGGCAACTGATATAAGCTTGGATATATTTAATCTGGCTGACATAAATACGAGAGCCAAAAAGAGAAGCAAGCAAACAAACAAAGAATTTGTTCTTGCTGGCGTTGCTTATTTATTTATTGCTCTGTGTGGTTCGGTGACATCTCGTGTCTTGGTCATTCTATCCATTCTATCCATTCTGTCCCGTCTGTCCATTCCATCCTGCTCCGGAATTCTAGTTTCTAGTTCTGGACATGACGTTTACTTGTTAACACTTTTCTCTCCATCTTTCACTGAGCCACTGCTTGTTGACGTTCCCAATTTCCCCGTTTACCATTATAAATGAGGTCAGTGGAGCATGCGGATGAGGTGCTAACACCTGGAAATGGTTCCTTACGGGGGCTTATGAGCTCCAGATTACCGTGAATTAGTAATATTAAAGTGGTTTATATAACTATATAAGTTTTAAGGTTACGGCAGTCGTTATAGTTTAATAAAAAGTTAAATTGCATTTAAATTGGCTATTCTTCTGATCCATTTGTCTATTTACTATTTTTACAGATTTTATGACGCTCTAAATGTATTACAGCCCATATTTATCGATGCCCAAATGTTGGCCAGTAGTCGTAAATGTGTCAGCCAGTCACCTCATTTTCACTCATTGCCCAAGACAATGCCAACTTTCCTTTTGATTGATTTAAGTTTTCGCAACAGCAGCAAGGAAACTTTGGCCAATGTATTTTTATTTGGCTTCAATTGAGGTTCGTTTGCCACTGGCAGCATGATAATGATGGGCCAGAAGGTGTCAGGAGACCAGCTTCCACATCAGTCAGCCGGAGTCTGCCCACAGACACCATCAATTCCATTTGTTTGCGGAGGAGGGATGGCGGTTGGCAACTTGCAGCTGGCCAGAAGATACATGAAGTGTCATTTTTAACCTGGCTCAACAAGTGCCCTTTCCGACTGCCCTTCGCACTTCCCCTCTCCAACCCTCTCCAAGTTGACATTTAAAAGGAATTTAATGCGAAACACTTTTAGGAATCGGATATTTATTAGGCGTAATAATTTTTCGGCGGTGTGGTGTATTTCCCAAAGGCCAGCTCCAGCAAGGAGAAGTGGCAGTTGTACTGGGTGCAGTCGTCGGAATGGGCATTCCGATATGCCTGATCGTAGTGCACTATGTCCGCATTCTCGTGCAGTTCCCGGGTGAAAATCCTCTGCTTTGGCAAGCTGCGCATATAGGAGGATATTAGAAATCCAGTGCTATTATTAAGTGGTTCGGAACTTACCTGAATATGGTACGCAGCATCTCGCCCACCATGCTCATCTTGGTGCGCTGGAAGTACTGGCGACTTTCGCAGAGGGTTCTTAGGATGCAGTCACGTCCATTGTAGCCCATGCTAAATGCATTTTAGCGTAGTAAAATAACGAAAAACAGTTGCATTTTATCATGTGCCAGGAAATACAATGGATATAGTTAGAAGTAAAGCATATAGACCAGAAAATTCAGAAAACCCCTTACTTATCCACCACCGACTCGATCTGCCGGTAGATGGCGCTCCTCGACCTTCTACGCAGAACTGCTGGAGCCACAGGATGCGTGGCAAATCCGTGCAGATGCTGTAGTACCCACGTGGTATTCGGCAGGTCATAAGCCACTCCCCAATTCAGGCCGAAACTGTTGTAGCCATAGTACGGATTGCCAATGATGCCAACGGTGAAGCAGACGGCCACCTGATCAAGGAGACGGTGACAACAACGGGCTGACTGCTGGAGGGGATTGGTCGGGATGACACATACGGAAAACGAGGAGCCCTCGGGAAAGCTGAGATAGCGCTTCGGACGACTGAGCACTCGCTGCCACCGGCGATGCAACAGATGCGAGGATGTAACCAGAGACTCCGGCGAGGAGTCGGATGTGGATGTGGTGGAGTCGTCCGCACGTTCCATCATAGTCATCAATGTTGGCGGTGACCATAAATCACGGCTGACATTACCCGGGAAAAACGAGGCAGTTGGGTCGAGTAACGAGGGCCCCGCATTTGTCGTTGCAATTAAATCGTAAATCAAAAACTTTGCAACAATTAAACGATAATTAAACAATGCGGAGTGCGCGTAAATCATGGCGGAAAAGAGGAGCAACGTGGCACGTGCCACTCTAGCAGGCGACTGAAAACTGAAAACTGCAAACTGCAAGCTGCCGAGGCAACTCACTTCGGGCCAAGACAATGCATCGGCTGGGCCAAAGGAAACTGGCCCAAGTGCAAATGTGTCAATTGTCCGTTAACGTTTAGAATGCTCTTCAGACACTTGCAGCAGTCACGTTTACAATAAACATGGCACCGGCCCAAAAGGTCGATGGGCAAACGAAGGAGGGCCGCCGAGGAGGGCGGCAAGCATTCAACTTAATTGAATTGCCTCTGCCGACACTTGCAACTGCACCTCCACCTGCATTCCCAGCTGCATCCACAGCACCTGTCGATGCCAGGCGAAAGGTCGGGCTGCCTGGGTGGGCAAAGTCAAAGATGCGATGACAGAGATCGATGGGCTGGACGGCAATGGCGTCCATATTTGCCAGCTCTGCTGCACGGCGAAAGTGCAGTGCAATATTAGTTCACGCCTCAAGTGATTGGGTGACTGAAAAGGCCTTGCCGTGTTGGTTTAAACTGGCAAGAGAGTTCTAGTCATCGAGTCTGGCTAACAGGCAAAATTATGCCATTGAGCGGAAGAAATTATAAACAGAAATAAAATAGTCATTAGCGTTGATGATATGGACTGGCACATAATGAACCGTTTAAAGGAGTTTTCCAGCAAATAGTATATTTTCCAAGGGACTTTATGCTCGGGAGTGGGCATAACTTTTCAGCCACCCTTCACGCCAAATCCCCGCCTGAAACAGTGGCGGCTGTCAACTTGAATGCTGCGGCCTGGGCGACAGGCGAGCAAACAAACAAACAACTTCATTAACCCCATAGGGCATACATCGCATACACAAGGACTCCCACTGCCACTGCCACTGGCAGTGGCACTGCCACATGCGAGTGTAGATGTATACTATATGTGGGGATATATATCCGGACATATCGGATAGAGGCAATTGAGGCCAGGGAAGGCGCTTAGCTGACCCATTAGAGGGAGAGGCGGTCGTAAACCAGAGGAGCCAATGCCAAAAGTCAGGGGCGAAATTGCCGGGCATCAATTGTGGGACGCTAAGCAAAACAGACAATCGAAAAGCGAAACCAATCGAGGGAAAACAATCATGAAACACAAGACGAGCGAACACCCAACACACATTCAAGATACAAGTCACCGAATTCCCGACACGTGAAGCTGAGGTCAAAGCCAGGGGAAAATCCTGCGGAGGATGTCAAAAGGAAAAGCCAGCCGGTCGAAGGACAAATATGGTAACTTTTTGACGACCACTTGAAGCTTAGGCGCTCCCAGGAATTGAGGCAGAAACTCAAGTCGTATCGAAAAGGGGATCAGGTCCTTGATTACCATGACAACGCCCATCACCGAATGTATCTCAATGTGCGGATGTGTGTGTGTGTGCTTGGGTGTGGGTGTGGGTGTGCGGATCGTTGATAAGACATTTTACAGATTGCAGATAGTTTAACGGCCACCCGCCACATAACTCTGCCCCAATTACGGCCTAATTTGCTATGCATTTTTCGCATTTGCCTCAAGTTAAAGTTGCCGGAACCGCAGAGTGCGACTCCGACTCAGACTCACGGTCCTCTACGGATATTAAACTATTTCCGAAGCATACAAAAAGCCAATTTAAATGCTAATATAAAATACCAACATTTTATTATTATGCCATGAGCACGCATCGCAGAGTAGGGCGGTAATATGGGCGTTGTGGGCTGGTGGGAGTGGTGGGAGTGGTGGGCGTGGCCTGGTAGGGACAACGACCACTTTGGGTGCGAAGTTTCCTTGGTCGCAGTGTGCGTGATAAGCCAAGTGGTTTGGCTGATTTTGGCAGGGTGTCCTGCCACTTGGGCCATGCAAAGGATCTACATATGTGTGGGTGGATACATCTGCGGGCCGTACAGTGCGTTTCGCAAATAAAAAGCCCCAAGAGTCATTAATCAGAGCGAATTTATGCGAGTAATTCAAGACTGCGAATGAGATGATTTACGTTTCCTAATTGTGCTAATAAATCATTAATATTGATAGGATACATGTGAATTATAGTACAGTTCCTTCAATTCAAAACTACTTCTATTAACTGAAAAAGGCAGTATTCTTTAAATACATGAACTATTTGCTCAAGCTAATTTTGCAGTTGCGAAGTGAACTTTAATGTGCTCCCCAAATTGTTTTGTTTGACACACCCAATGATGAGTTTATACACTTCGGTGAGGCCAATTCAGAAAGTACAATAGATTTTAAATATTCTTTGTCTGCACGGGGCCTTTCAAGTAGTTAGAGCCGAAGAAATCTCAGCTTTGCCTCTATTTTCACTCCCAAAAGGACCTGTGGTGGTCGAGTGCCTTTGACCCATGAATACCGATCCATGAATACCTGCCCACTCACCTGTCTATCATTGTCTCCAGGCGGCCATAGAGCTCACGTCGATGTCTGCGCTTGATTTGCGCCTGGGCCGACTTCTTTGTGGTCCACCCGTGGGCATTCTGCAGCACCCAGGTGACATTGGGCAGGTCGTAGGCAACGCCCCAATTGATGCCCAAACTGAGGTACAGCAGGTTGGGGTTGCCAATAACACCGGTGGTCAGACAGACAGCTCCCTGGAACACGGCCACAAAATGTTTTATTCAAGTAAGTCAGAGTTGCATGCAAGTAGATCCCAACTATGCATAAACGTTTTTCCTTAAATTCGTGCTAAATTCTATTTTAAAGAATTATTTTTTGCCGTGCATACTGTTTCTGTCCCATTGTTCGGGGTTCGTTGACTCACCGATGCTGATGAACCCTGGGGAAAGGCCACAAAGCGCTTGCCTCTCGAGAGTTTCCGCTGCGACGATGAGGCCGCATGTGGTGTCAGTGGGTCCTGGTCCAAGTCCCGGTCCGGGTCCCGGTCCCGGTCGAAGTCCTGTTTCCCCTGCGCGACGACGCCGAGTCCTGGCGGCGGAGTCAGCGTGACATTGTTGACTTTGCCGGCTTCGTGACTTGTCGCCGGCGGAGCAAATTCATCCGGCAAACTGCTCTGGCATTCGCCCAAAAGCCATGCCGTGAACAAGAGCGTCAGCCAAGTCGCAGACATTATTCCAACTGAATCAATAATTCGGGTCTTTGATATCCGTCCATATTGCGTCTGGCTCTTTGTCTTAACGTTCTATCAAAATGGCAACTTGTTAATTGAATTAGAGCCTGGCCAAGTGACCCCTTTCAGACTAATGCCGTGACCAAATAGCTGCTCCGGACCGAATTGGATAGCCACGCGAACGGAATGGGCACATTACTTGTTCAATCTGGAGTTAAGTGTCGATCCGGTAGCGGTCTGGATATTCAGTTCTTGGCCAGCTTCGCCATGGAAAGCTTAATATGGTTAAGGCTGGCGGTTTTGGCCATTTTAGTGGCCTTAGTAGCGTCTGGCAATAGTACTACTTCCCTAATGCTTAAGTCTAACTCCGGGAATAGAGGCGTGACCTACATGCACGAGAAGATCCATCTACTCCATCGCCAGAAGCGCTGGCTCACCTTTGAACTGGGATCCGCTCTTACGGTGAGTAAAATAGTCATGTACTGTCTAACTAATGGCAGTTATTAAACTTACTTTTGTTGGTCACAGCTTACTGCCAATTGCGCCAAGGCGATTCTAGATACGATTCCTAGAGGACTTTTATGGCTGGGAGAGATTACGAGTCTTTATGAACTACCTGCTGCCATTGAAGATTGGATACCCAGGCGTGTGGGCAAGCCGAAGGTGAAACCTACACCGCCACCACCGCCTCCTCCTCCTCCTCCTCCACCACCACCACCACCGGCGCCACCTGGTGCTGCTGTCTATCCAGTTGCACTTCCACCGCAGCCCGTGATTGTGCCTCTGAATCCCGCGGATCCCATACAGTCCTTCTACTTCGCCTACCCGCAAGGCATTCCCACGCTGAGTCGCCGCAAATCCTATTCGCAGCAGATGCAGATGGGCTGTCCAGCCTCGCACCTGGTCAAGGACATGTACGGTACCTACTACTGCCGACCATCGGCGATGTCCCGCCGGTTGAGAAGGGAACTGGAGAGCCAGGGAAAGCGGGTGATCAATGAGGCGCAGAGTCCGCACGGCATGCTCTTTGATCTGATCTCCATAATGGCCACCATGTAAGTATTGATCTCTTTGATCAGTGTGTGTGGCAATGGACTTTCAACATTTCTCTGCTTGCAGGTTTAGCTACCAGCCCAACTACTGCGTGATGCGAACCCTGTGCGAGGCACGTCATCTGCTGGCTCCGCCGGGCATAACGCTCTTCCACGACATCTTCCGCATCATGCTGCGCTACGTGCATCCGGAGATAGCCCACAAGCCCAAGTACCGGGAGGCCTTCACCGCCGGCCACTCGCTCCACCAATGCGCCACTTTGTATGGACCACATTGCCGGCAGAGTTTCTTGCTGCTCATCAGCGAAAGATTTCAGGAGAAGTACGCCCACTGATTGTATGAAAGTGGAAATATGGAAAGCATATTGTATGGAAATGAATTTATCCAACTGGACGAGGCCGCAACTGCTATGAAACCCTATATAGACTTAATGCACCGCGTTGCATGCCAAATTTGATTGCAATAAACGGAATTGTAAATATGCTGCGTTTGTTTTTAATGCAGTTTCATGGAAATTTCTATCAATTTAAGGGTATTGGTATGCATTATTAATTACAATTTGCATTGATAATTTCCCACAAAAATTGTACTTTATAGGAGCCATGAAGGGAAAGTTAATGTATCTATAAAAGTGATAAGTGTGGTGTTTAGAATCCACATTTACTTGTCGCCCAGCCTTGCCCCTTAATTTCTGGCGCTTATTGAAGCTCGTAACGAAGTTAAAAAATCAATACTTGTGTGCATTAAGCTTGTACAAATTGTGTAATACTTCCACAGTGCAAACAATAAATACAAATGAAAAATGAGTGCATAAATTGATGAGCAAAAAAATGAATTTTATTGTGCGCCACAGCAGAAAGTTGAATGGAAATTAAGTAAATACTCGTACATCGACATTTTTATTGACCATTTTTTTGGCCACTTTGTGGTGCGCTTCACCGAAAAATGCAGCGCATGTGAGTTCTACTGTTTATATGTGTTGATAGTTAAACTTATTATTGCTTTTATATGACCCCCCGACTTTAAATATCCGATCCGGTGAGATAAGTGTATTTGATGTTAAAGTAGGGTATGGAAACATTGATGGAGTCCCAAGTGCATGGAACCCACTCTCCGGGGATCCCAACTGGCAATTCCATAATTTGTGCTGTTTGTTTTTCGCTTCACAATGCTGACAATTGGAGTGGAAGTGGAAACAAAACAAGTGTATTTCCCACTGTTGACAGAAATTTACATGCTACAGCAATCAGTGTTGGCCGTGTCGACGCACGATGGCCAGGGGATCGGAGATAGGGGAACATAACCAAAACCCAAGCCCAAACCAGGAGGACCACCTCACAATGGGCACTTGTTAAAAGCAGACTTTGCAGGCAACCGCTAATCAGTGCAATCAACACGGCACTCGAACTAATAAGCCGCTAAAGCGACTGGTTCCCTATTCAGTTTGGTTTTCAGTTACCAACGGAACGTTCCACCGACAGTATGAGACCCTCGCCAACTGTCCACTTCAGTTTGCTGGCACTTTGCCTCCTGCTGCACGAGGTGCAATCCCAGGTGATGTCCATGTCACCAGCTGCAAATGCCACTCGAACAGAGGAGGTGGCCAAGGTTCTGCGCCGGCACAAGCGTTATCTGGCATTTCCGGAGGGCTCTTCGGTTTCGGTGTGAGTGTGTTGATGGCCAGTTGGCCAGTTGGCCAGTGAAACGGCTCTAATGGAAAGCATATCCTGCAGGGAGCCATTTGCATGACGATCGGCATGATTGGCAACCCAGATGTCGACTATCTCAGCTGGGCGGTCAACTGGGGCGTGGCCTACGATCTGCCCAACCACCAGTGGGTCATCCAACACGCCCATGGACTGAATGCCACCCTGGCCAAGGATACCATCAAGCGGCGATCCCGCCGAGCCTTTTACGATGAGATCCAGTCCTTATTTGACAAGTAAGTGAAAGCGAAGTGCAATCTTGAATCTATGAATCCTTTAATGCTACGTTATTGATTTTCCCGTAGCATGGGATTCAATGGTCGTTCCTGTGTGGCTCGAGCTCTCTGTGAAAGTGCCCGGTTCATGCTGCCGTCCGAGGAACGTGGCAACATGTTGCAGGAGTTGGTCAGGACCGTCTTCAGCCTGCCCTCCTCCCCTGTGGCTGCCCACGAGCCACAAGCCCATCATCAGTACGATCGCATGTACCGCCGATCCAAGCGGAACTCACGGGAGTGCCATGAAATCTATCCAGGATGCCAGTTTTCACTGCTGGCCTTGGCTTTGGGCAAGTACATGGCAGCCACTACCACGAAGTTCAGTTCATTCAACTACATGTGAATGCAAAAATTATTAATTTGAACAAATAAATACCAGGAAAAGTTGTCACAGCTCTGGAAATTATTTACTATTTGAAAACGGGCTTGTGATAGAAATTGTTTATTAGTATTCCCTTTCCTTGTTGAACTTGCTAAAAAAAACTTAAATAAAAGACGGGCTGGTTTTTTTAAAACAAATTATTTTCATTCTTCTTTATTTAATAACGCGTAACATTTATTTATATAGTAATTGTTTTCTTTTAATGTGTTGTTTTTTAATTGTTTTCAATTTTAGTGTTCTTTTTTTCGCAATTGTTGCTATTATTTCAATTTGTTTTTGCGTTAGCTTAGGTTCGTTAATTAGTGTCTTACATTTAGGTTGTTAATGCATTTCTTTTTATACTGTTGTGTTAGTCAACATATTTATTCTTCTATCGGTTTCGTTTACTTTGTTTTAATATCTTCAATTTATTTGTGTATGATCTGGTAATTTTTGATCAATTTTCAATGTTTTTCAATTGTTTGCTTGCTGGCTGCGCGTGAGTGTAATTAATTTAGTTTCGGTTTGTTATGTAATATGTTTGCTGTTTTGTTGTTCAAGAGAGTTTCGAATATATATTTAATATATATAGTTATCATATATATTTACGCACGTATTTGTTATGTGAAATGTAAATGCAACGCTTTTCCGTTTAAGTTTAAGTATTGTGTCACATTTATCTGAATTATACTGATGCACAAATGTCAATTTTACCTTCTCATTTTCATTAGGTTCGCATTTAGCTGATCTTGCTTTGATTTGCAGTTTCAAATTTAACTTACTCTATACTTAGTCGCAAGTATTTTACATAAATCGGATTATCGTTACTTAGCTTACTTACGTTATGCGATTCCTTTAACTAAATTTTCAATTTAGTCAAAATTGATTCTCGTGTAGAATTTTTAGCGAGCGCTTGGGACGCCTAACTAAATGTTTACTCCATACTTGTATTTATATCTGGCTTTATTTTACTGCGTATATGTATGTATATTTATCGTTAATTATTTGGTTTTAGGTATTATTTTTTTGTTGAGCAATTTGCCGTTAGTTTGGCCCGTGGGCATTTTACCTTTAACTTTAATATTCGTGGTGTTGTTTTCCCCAGTGAGTTGCAAGACTTTAAGATTTGCCATTTGCTTTGATTTGTTTTGAGTTAAAAATCTTGACGCTAAAATTGATTTTGGTTTTCATATCTCGATCGAACGAATTGAAAGAAAATTTACACAAAACTTGCAACGGAAGCACTTAAGTCTAACGGCACCTAATTGTTAATACAAAAAATATACATACAAGTGTATATGCATAGTGTATACCTCCTAATGCTATATACTTTCAAATACATAGCTAGTACAATTGTTTTACACTCGAGCGATTTGTAGTTTATGAATTTACACATTTGATTTTGCTTTATCTCGCACACACACACATGCAATGCCATTCACTCAATTTCATACGAAACACATACATACACAAGCATAAAATATTCGACTTTATCCGTAAATGTGTGTGTTTAGCTTAGGGTTGTGTGTGTGTATTGTGCTGCTTGCGAATCCGCGGTTTTTTCTATGTCGACGATTAAAAGCCTTTTAAAAAATGAATTCTCTTTTGAATGTATGGAGGTGCTACAAAAATGGATAG